GACATTACTATTTCTTTTGTCTCATTTCTGTGTTTACTGTCTCTATTTGGCATTTGTTTCTACTCTCTTCTCTTCATTGTGTGTTGAGTGAAGTGTGGCGACTCGAACTGGTGCACATCTGTGCAAAGTTCTATGTTGAAACCAGTCAGTCAGTCATCTGAATGAAACGTGTAACGTATTTGTGTATCCACCATATCACCAGCTCGTATGGAGCCAGGTATGTCTGCCGTACCCAGCGTTCGTTTTCCAAACGTATCCTTGAACACTTCCCAGCATGGGTTTACAAAGCAGAAAAACGATGTCCAGACACCAAGCTACACTTCAAACAAACTTTAAAGTCGTCTATAGAATATGAAGCAGTCTTCCTAAAAGTGTACCAGTCAAAATTCTTCAAACTGCAGAAGTAATGGCGATTCATTTGCTAAGTCCTGAACTCTGCATACATAGGAAGTTCGTTCAATCACCATACTTGCAATGGACGTAATCTATCTTAATACCCGACAGGTAAATTCTATTTCTTTCTTTCTGTCTCTTCATTAGTATTATTTTGTCTTTTCAATTGTAATACTTTGCATTTTCATCTTTCCCGTTCTCCATCCCCACCCAATTTAATTTCTGCATCTAACTACCATTGTTACTGACTTGACCAAAGTGACTCTGAAACTTGCAGTCAGCAAGCTAGTGAAATCTGACAAATAATATTGCAATCATGAATAAATTATGCTTAGTGAAATGTTATGTTAATAAATGGGGTATCTGGTAAGTTTCAGGTTAAGTTTGGAAAAGATTAATTTAAGGTTTAGACTAAGGACAGGTTAGGATTAGGTTAACCTAATAAGAGCGATATCGGGGTTTGTTTGAGTTAGCATAGGGTTAGTTTAGGGATATTTTCACGTTGTGGATAGGTTATGGGAGGATTAGGGTCATTGCTAGGGGTTGGAAGACCTAGATAATTACATGCATCGAATGTGGTGACATTACTCTGTTTGATACGCCAATCTAAACCTAAACCTGAGAGGTATTTTTGTCACACATCAGAGAAAAATCTTCTGTGTAAGAGTTTCATGCCTTTTAATTTATTATTTTCATCATAAGATGTGTACTTTATACGCAGAAGTCGCCTTTATCATGCGTTTGGTGCGTGCAGGGTCATTTGTCCGTTGGTACTTAATGGTGCTTAAAGTTTGACTCTTTTCTATCTAGAACTAATTTTCGATTTACTTAAGGATATTTTCAACCCCCTCCCTTATTTGTTTTTTTGTTTTACCCACACCCTTATGCCATCTCCCCACCCATTATTTGTAACCTTGACCTGTACACAGTAAATCATGCCAACTCTTGTCTTGTGCATAACTATGTATGGCAAGTAGGCACGTCTGTGTGATCAAAATGTCCGCAATGTGTTGCGCAAATACAAATTACACGTTTAATTCAGATAAACTACATCTTTTTAGGGTTTTTGTCGAAATTTATAAAAGGAATTAAATTGCTTTAAGCTGCATAATGTTTCTGCTGAAAAGTCCAGTGAAGCATAAGTGACTAACAAAGCGTAGTTTTCATTTAGTTAGTTTCCGAATGAAAAACTCTGCTAACACATCGGATATTTGTGTATATACGGTAACCCCTCCTTTTATTGTTCATCAGCCGCCTTGCTTTGAAAGGCTTGAATAGTTTCCGTTATAATTATATAAAATTCAGTAAAACATGTTAGTTAAGTGGACTATTCTATTCTAATTATTTCTGTATAATTTACTGCTTTTCACCAGTAACCTGCCTGTGATAACTCTATTTTGAAGTCTAGTTTGGTCATTTCACATGTGTGTTCAGTATTTGTGTTAACTGAGAATTACCACTGGGTCAAAGGCAGTAGCTCTGTTTGATTTTTCCAACTTCTTCGCCTATCTGTACTAACAAATAAGTTGAATTTAACAGGTTTTCACTGGCAATAATTGCCTGGTACTTACTTTCTGTTGCACGACAATAAAGCTAAATCATCAGTAGTAATTCCATACAAAGAAGGAAGCTTGGAAACCTTACGCAGAATTCTTAACAAGGCAGGAATAAAAGTATTTGGCATTCAAACCCACAAACTCAATTAGAAACAAGCTTTGTCGGTTAAATGGTGGATCCTGTGGAGCCTTTAAAACAAAACAATTTAGCTTATCTAATACCTTGCTTTAATGATTGTCAGAAGTCAGAGACATCAACTGACTTGATGACACCACTACTGAAGAAAGTGAGAAAAGAGAGCAAGCTACCTGTGTATTGGCAGAGAGGCTACCTATTTCAACCACCAAAAAAAGGAGACTTAAGACAAGGTAAGAATTGGAGCGGCATTATGCTCCTGTGCATCCCAGCAAAATACAAAACCGCATCATCCCGGACGAAAAACTTCGACCGGAACAGGCTGGATTCAGGAGGAACAAGTCACGCATCGATCGAATCATAATACTATGGATCATCATTGAACAGAGCTTGGAATGACAGTCACCTCTCTACTTCTACCTCAACTTCATTGACTTTGAAAAGGCCTTTAACAGCAAAGCGTCGATCGAGAGGTGATTTCGAAAATTACTTCGCTACTATGGGGTGCAGCCAACAGTTATTCACCCCATCCAACAGTTGTACGATAATGCTGCATGCCAAGTAATCCACAACAGGAAACTCACGGAATGCTTCTAAGTGAGGACGGGAGTAAGACAAAGCTGGCTGGCTGCCTACTATCTCCAATGATTTTCCTGATTGTGGGTGGTAGAATGGATAATGCGACAGACAGCGGTAGGCAACGAGGAGACAGGCATAAAATGGACCCACACTAGAAAATTGGAGGATCTAGATTTCGCAGATGATATATATGTCTGATTTCCCACAAACTGGAAGATATGCCAGTGAAAAGCAACAAGTTGATAAAAGAAGCATAAAAGAGTGGACTTCGAGTGAACGTGAAGAAAACAGAGGTGATGAAGATTCCTGCCCAACAGCAACAACAACAGACAACAATCAGCACAAATGGGAGAAATCTGAAAGAAGCAACCTCCTTCACATACCCACCTACCTACCTGGGAAGCATCGTTTCAACTACAGGCGGACGGAACTGATGAGGAAATGAAAGCGCGAGGATTGGGAAAGCAAGACAAGCTTTCACTACTCTCGAGTCTGTGTGGAGATCAACAGCACTTGGCACTCAGCATGGAAAATAAGATCCGGATTTTCAACTTCAATGTCAAGTCAGTGCAACTTTATGGATCAGAGACTTGGCGCATCATGAAGGGCACTTCGAACAAACTACAAACCTTCATAAACATCTGTCTTCACTCAATACTCAAGATCAGATGGCCAGAAAAGATCAGCAATAGGGACCTGTGGGAGCAAAGCAAACAGGAACCGATTGTGCAACAAATATGCAGAAAGAAATGGAGGTGAACTGGCCATGCTCTGAGGAAAAAACTATCAAGTGAGTGATATCACAACACACCAGGCTCTCTGTCTCTCGAAAGGAACTCGAATGGGAAGCGGTGAGTTAGTTGGTCGTCATTGCGAGGGTGACATGGATGAGGAGGAGGTCATGTGAAGAGAAGGTGAAAGCACGTGAGTAGACGTGCAGCCAGGTGGAAACGTTGGCAGAAAACCGAACCCAGTGGAGACGTACGGCTGAAGCCCTATGTTCCTCTAGGAATTAAAGGAAACAACAATAATAATATTTAGTCTTCAGAGAGGTTTCTGCAGTATGTTACTGAGTGACTTTTCAAACCCTTGTATTATCCTGCAAATATTTTCGTTCTTTCATTATATCGGATTCTCGTTTTCTTAGTTCTAATGATGATGACATTACTTGCACAAATTGATAGAACATTTAAAACGTTTTCAATTCTTTGAAGATACAAAGAGAAAAGGCGTTCAGTGATGGGTTGCTCTTTTCGGCAATACCGTTCTCAAGCTGTACGGTCGCATATATATATATATACATATATTTGTTAATAAGGATTATTTCTAGATATGTGTTATTGAAATCATAGATTCTACATAACAAATTACGTAATGTAGAAAGCGTTAATTCGGTGGAAACTGAAGCAAGACTTTAATATGTAAATTGAGTAACGTAATGTGATTGAAAGAGAATCAAGTTAACGGGAGTGGTAATGAAGGGTAAAGAGTTAACAAGGGGTGGGTGAAGAAAATAATACATTTAAGATTCCAACGAATCAAACTCCTTCAGACAGAGCAGAATCAATGGCTGCAGCCCACATGTCCCACTAAATGAAGAAAACTTTCTTCACGGGTAAACGTCGAATACCTTCATCTTCCGAAATCAACGATTCGCATGAATGTGAAAGATAAGCTACCATCGTTGGTTGTGTCTTTAATATGCATCTACCAGTTCATCTGCTACACCTGTGGTCTAAGTATGTCGGTCCAACCCAGCGTTTGCTATGCAAACGTATCATCGTACCACAGTCACAGTTTTATAAAAGAGAAAAAAGATGCCCCTTCCCGCCACAACTCTATCCTCAAACACCTGATCGATCGAATCAGAACACCAAGCTAACTCACAAAGGGACTTCACAGTTATCTACAGAATATTTGGAAGCCTTGCTAAAACAGTGCGAATAAAACTCCTTCCAGCACGACAGAAGGAGCAATGGTGGCAATTCACATGTTGCCAATAAACTTCGCTCTCTACGTATGCGATTGTACAGCTTCAGAATGGCGTCGCCGAAGACAGTAACTCTTCACTCAACTCAATGAGGATTTTCAAGAGATAAAATGTCTTTTATTCAGCAGGTTGGAAAAGTTTAATTTATTCAGAAATAATCACAAATTCTAAGTATAATTCTCTAATTGATGGATAATGACTAAGAGTGGAATCCAGGATAACGCGCATTTTGTCCTATTTGGGACTGGCTCGTCAGCCACAGGATGTACCTGCATTAACAAGTGAGTAAGGCTCGAGTCTCGAACTCAGTGCTCATAAGTGTATTGAACAGTCAGAATGTGACTTATCAAATGAAATCACTACAAAACTGAAATTTAAACAGACACTTTCTCGGTGAAGAATTTCTACATATACACATTAGATATAAACTGCTTACCTTTCAAAAACCTGTCCTGGCACTCGATGCGGTACATCGTTGTTTGTTTTACAGGTGAATTGAAATAGCAGATCAGACTCTTGATTACGGTGTTCTTGACTAGTGATAACAGCAAGATAACCAGTATATAAGTGTCCACTCTATTAAAACAAAAACAAAAGTGTACGTCAAAATATGTAGTATTATTACATATTACACATTTGTGTATTATTTGAAACCAGTAAGTAGAATATGCCTTTTTAATTGAATAGTTATGATCTAAATAGCTTTCTGTATTTACTTTTATAGATAGATATCTTGAGGATTTCTAAGAAAATATTCCATCTTACCTTCTACATCAAGAAGTTAAGACATTCTGGTATAATCTAACCCTTACTCCTACAATTCGTTAACTCTCGCATCCTGCCTATTATTCTCTATTGTTCCCCCTTAGTTTTTCCCGGGCTACTGAAGAAAGACTATAACATAATACGCAGGATGTTAAAGGTTGTCAACAGGGTAAGCAACGTGCCACTTAACCAGCTTGTTAATATTCTGATTGACAGGCACTTGAACTCATGTGAAAAATGGGCTAAATCCGTTCTATGTAACTCATACCACCCTCTTCATTCACAACTCTCCCCTTGCATCTCATCAGGCAAAACCAGAAGCCGATATAGATAACTATATACTCGCACCAGCAAGTACAAAAACTCAACCATACCCTACTTGGTTCGTGTTCTGTGCGATAAAGAAAGCATTAGGCGTGACACCTATAATTCTTTAAATAGTCAGTAGTACAACTGGATCTCGTCTTTCTAACTCATATCATTTATAGGTACAACGTTTTCTTTCTTTCTTACCCTTTTCTCTCTCTCTCTTTTTCTTTTTTTCCGTTATTTGCTGTTTTGTTTCTTTCTTCCGCTTACGCCAGTAGATATGATAGCACCTACTTTTCTAACACCTTCAAACACTGTTCAACTTTGGCTTTGCTACCGACATGCCAATATGTTGTTGTCATAATGAACTGAGATTTCCCTAATCTATGTAGAATTTTATTTATTGATAATGTACTAACGGGATGCAATACTGTAGTAAAAATGTTGAAAATTCCATTCTGTATCACAAGTACTGTTTTGGAATAATGCAAATTACTGTTATTATTGTTATTCAACACAGTGAAAAAATGACCTGTACTGTGAAAAGGAGGAGTGGAGTTTTGATTTCTCATTTATGTGTGTACACAGGCGTGTGTGTATACGTGTGTGCCTGTTAGCGGCTTTCATCTATTTGGCAGCTATCCTTTAGAGATTCGGGGATTTGACTGAATAGAAGACTTCATCATAAGCTGACATCGGTTAGGGGAATCATTGAAAACCAGCACTGGGGTACTGGACAGGCAGCTATTTTCTCAACCTGGACTGGGAATCTTCTCTGGTGACCAGCTATGACCAGTGAGGTGCAACAGGTCCGGAGTATGTAGAAATTCTCGCCACCGATGACATTGGCTAGTGCTAGTCACGCTATATCGTGTGTGAATTGGCAGAAGTTGGAATTCATGGGGCGGTGGCCATTGGATTGGGTCTCAGTGGCTGGCTGAATGGTCTACGAGATAGATCGATGCTTTGGGAAATTTATTTTGCACCCGGTAGATGATAGAGAAGGATTCTTCAATGCTGGCTGGCTTTGTGGCCGGTCGCTTTAAACCAGATGGTCTAATATCGAACTGTTGATGGTTTTTACTACACCTTTACTTAGCCATAGTGGGAGATGTTCTCGAGCACGAAAAATCAGTTTCCTAGAGCAACGGCCAGTATAACTCGCTCCACAGGCGCAGTTGAATTGGTGGATAAAAGTGAAAGTGGCTACTCTAGTCTAGGTACTTCATCTCTCAGTCAAGGAATCAACATTGGTCGTATAGAGAATAAGATGTGTACTTCTCCAGCATTAAAAGCTCTTCGAATAGATTTTCTTAATTTCTTCGTAATTATCTCATAAATTGCAGTCGCATATGAAGAGGCTTCTTTTTCATGGATAGTGAGTAGTCATTTTCCTCTTTCTTTCTCATATGTTTCTTGATAAATTTGTCGGGATAGCTATTTGCAGTCAATCCAGGTATCATATACAGTGTTTAATTCATCTTCACTTACTTCTTCTGAGCATATAGCTCTAACTCTGTGGCTCAACGTCTTTACTAAATTTCTCTTGTACTGGAGAGGAACGAAGCTGTGAAAATGTGTATATTTTCCTGTCCATGTGCTTTTTCTATGCAAATTTCATTTTATGCTATCATCTGGTTTTCTTGTAAGCAGGACATTCAAGAAGGCAATTCTTTTTTGGGTATCCTCTACGCACATAAATTTCAAAGCAGAAAGTACTTCAATAAATTCAGTTATTATTGTACTCTTATCGGAATCATTATGACAATGAATGATAAGTCTAAAGGATAAATAGCATTAAGTTGAATGGTCTGATACAAGGTTTTCACTTATGTGGAAGACTTCAACATCGTACACTGCCCTTTCATCAGCAGAAGTTAGTGGTATTCAACGACGCGTTTCCCTAAGACATGCTTACAGCTTCTAGCGTAATAAACTTCACAGGAGTATCTGAAAGAGTAGATGCACTGAGAGCTGGATGTAAGTGGTAATTTATCCTTCACGCATTGTAGAATCATACTTTGGTTGGGAAATATTAATTGCAGATACACTTGTAATAACTTCAGCAATAGTGTCACCATAGAATGTCAAACTCATTTAACAGTGTCTTCTTTGGAACTATGATTTGACTGGGAGTGGTTGTTTTTTCATGTTTTTACCAATAACCCTTCTTGGATATCCATTATTTAAGAGTGTTGTACCAGGGTTTATCAGTTCTCCATCAACTCTATGTATGAAGTAAATTTTCAGGATTCTGGACGATAAAGATCCTTCTATCTAAGAGTACCTACCTGTCAGTGAACTTTCTTTTAAAGGTAGAATGGCTTTTTCAATGTGCTATCATCTCCTCTGTATAGCAAAACATATAAGAAGCAGAATTTTAAATTCTACTCTTCTTCGGTGAGGAAAATCATAGTTAGTTGATAACTATTAAATTTTCTGGGGAGTTCAGCAGCTGAATGGTTGTCATCACAAATAATTCAAAGTGTCGTTCATATATCTCTTATACATATGCAGACTCGGGATAATTTCTTTCCATGGGAAACTCTTTAGGGTCGCATTGAAGACATCTGCTAGAAGAGGTCGTAACTCTGTCGCAATGATTACAGATAACATCATTGAATACAAACTGCATATCAAGCGTGCATCTCGATGAATGGCTCCTTTAAATAATTATGAAGAAATTTCTTATTCCATATTTTCTTTAAGACTGTAATAAACCATCTCTGAATTTGTAGAAAAATCCCCTCGGAAGATTCTTCCGTCTGAGGAAGAAATGCTGACGGGAATTGGGTAGCCTGTTAGAATACACCAGTGCTTACAGGAAACTTCACATTCAAACCGGTATTTGGATTTCGGATCATACCACCCTATGTCATTAAAATTGAAGCTGGTGAAAGCGAAAAGTACCAAGAAAAATCTAAGACAGGAAGTGAGACATAGAAGAGAAGCTTTGAAACTTAACAATTGCCCTGATAACTTAATCATGAAGTATATAGGAAAATGTTGAAATAAAACTAATAATAACATTATTAATGACGACATGCATTTCAAACATGCACAGAATAATGACAACACCAACAGTGGTACTTCTATACAATGAAGGAACCTCGTAAACCACCTTACAGAGAATTCTTAACAATATGGGAGGAATAAAAGTGGCTGGCATTCAAGCTGCCAACAAACTCAGTTAGAAACAAGCTTTGTCTGTCAGGAGATCAATCCTGTGGAGCCAATTAAACAAAGCAATTTAGTTTATCTAATACCCTACTGGAATGACTGCAAGGTCAAATGCATAGGTGAGAGAAGTAGAACGGGGTCAGTCAATGAGTACAAAAGCTTAGTAAAATTTAGATTAATTTTCAAGTATTGGTTTTTTTTAGGGATTTTGTTTGATTACATGGAGGATTTCATCATGAGCTAACATCAGTTAGAGAACCACTGGAAAACCTGGGAGTACTGGACAGCGGTTTCGTCCCACTCTTTTGCGACTCTTCATCAGTACGCACCCACTGGGGTTTGAACCCAGGAACTTCTGGTTACGAGACGAGCTATTTCGTAGACTATTAAGCCACTGGGAGTCAACCGATGCAATAGCCCATGAACTCTAACTTCCGTCAGTTCACGACATAGCGTACTGATGAAGAGTCCCAAACTAGGGCGAAACAGCTGTCCAGTGCTCCCAGGTTTTCCAGTGGTCCTCTTACTGATGTCAGCTTACGATGAAATCCTCTATCTAATCAAATTTAGATTAGTTGACCCTAATAAGACAAGAAATGTGGAGAATAGTTAGTTCAGCTACAGCACTCACTACATGCAATTACACACAACCATAGAATAGGATGGGATGGGATAAGAAGGCAGTTTTAAAATCGAATGTAACAGGGTGAATGGAGGGAGAGATTAATAATAACGGAAGCTTATTTATTGAATCAACTGAAGAGAGTACGTGTAACAGGAATGATTCAACACCTGTCCACTCGGATATCTGGAAAATTCTACTACCCCTATGACAACACAGAGGAAAGAAGAGAGAAAACTATGAAACGGAAGTTTCGAAGTCATGTGATTATAATAGAGAATATGATTATGAAGAATAAATTCTGTTCGAAACTTTGTCATCCTGTAGTTGTTTTACTGTTTTACAGTGTGATACGTCTAATAAACAAATGATTATCGAATTACATACTGCCACGATGCCCAAGTTTTACGCTCACATTAAAACGTATGTTACCTATTATTTTAAAACTCAGTGATGTACACAGTCATTCTTTTCCAGCTAAACAGGCGTTAAACAATCAGTCATTGGCAAGAATACAAACCCTGAATATCGACTTTTCGCCTTTCAGCAATTATAATAAAAAAAGCACCATGAAGATTAGGAATTGTAGACTTCTTTTGATAAGGATTAAGTTTTTCTAACCTTCCAGAGAAGACAACACGTTGGAATTATTTTCATGAAATCAGGATAAGATGAAATAATATATATATATATATATATATAGTAAACGTAGAGCCCTTGAAATACTGCTTTAAAAAATCAGCTTATTCGCTTGACAGGGAGGGATGTTTAGACAGGAGCTTGCGTGTAAACGATATTCTTATCTAATAATTTATTCATGAGGAACAGCTCAAATCTCGTTTTAACACTGACTAGAGTCACATGGTTAATAAAGGGAAATGGATAATCCCAGGTGTTGTTTTGTAGGGATTTTATTGATCACTGGCTTGAATACTAGTTAGAGAATCAGTTAGAGAACTACTGGAAAACCACAGAGTACTGGGCTATTCAGTAGTACTCATTCATTGAGGACTCTTCGGTTACAAGGCAATCTCGTAGACTATTTAGCCACGGGGAGCTGATCGGATGGCTCATGAGTTCCAACTCCAGCCAATATCATGGGCTAGTGATTGTTTTCTTGCCATACTTTGTGGACGTCGCTGGCTAAACCTTCTCACTAGAACTCCAGGTGACTTCCTGAATGAAGACAGTGGGTAGTGAGCACCAGACTAATTTTCCAGAGATGGTCCGCAGGGATTTGATCACGTGGTGACATCAGTCTACGAGCTCACTTTGTAAATCAAAGGCTCTGGGTTCGAATCCTGGTAGATGTGTATTGCTGAAGACTTCCAAACTAGGATGCAATAGCTGTCCAGTACTCCATGGTCTTCCAGTGGCTGTCTAACTGATGTCAGCTCATGATGAAATCCTAGTTGTCTGTGTAGTGTGGCTGGTGAGAAATGAAAACTAGCGCCTTTTCGACTAATTATGATGTTCGACTTCTAAAACATTCCCAATTTTAGATAGAAACACCTCCAAGTGCTCCTCATTAGCAGAGGAAACACCGGGAAAGACACCCTGATATTCATTTTATTGGTTACCTGTTTGTTTTCGCATTTCAGTTCAAGCTAGTTCAACGTAACGTGAATATTTTTTTATTTTCGACAAAGTCATCAACTAGCAGGTTGTACATTCTTGTATTTATAGTGGTAAATGTGTGGAAAAAAGTTCCAGAATTATTTCCGGTCAGAGGTTAAGTTAATAAAATTACAAAGTGTGATAATCAGGAAGATCGGATACAGAACTTAGTATTATAGATAGGTGGTGGTACCAATCTATAACTATTTCACGTCAAAGGCCACGGTAGGGACAACGGCTGAACGTATTTCGTTTTAATACATAGTGTGTGCTTGAGCTTTTGGATCGCCAGTGCCTACCTCAGCTATTCCCAGTCACATGCCTTGATTCCACTCCCTTTGTGTGAGAGGTTTGATCGGATCTTGTATGTGACATTGAAGGACTTTTCAAATGGAGCTGAATGTCTGTCACCGAACTGTATGCACCGTTGCATTCTTCTTTTTTCTAACCATGCTGGATAGTGTTCTCGAGTGCGTCTTACAAGCGGTCACATGTTACGTACGGCCAATGCACTCGGCTCAACACACGGCAAAGTGAACTTGTATATTCATGTTGAAGTGACCATAACGCGGCAGCTCGTCTTTCTCGCTGGAGAATAGTACTCGTAGGCTGGCATGTAGGCAAAATGTCTTTTACTGAAAGACTTCGAAAGCCATCTACGGAGAAGTTATACTTCGGTATCAATTTTAATTTGACTTTTGACCTGAAATTGTCCTGGAACTTTCGCACACACTTACTACTAGCTGACGACTTCATTAAGAAGAAAATTTTCTTCTCTGCGATCGTCTTCTTAATAACTCCTAAGATCTAATGTTTATATTCCGTAGCAAGGATAACAAAGAATACATTCGAATGAAGTGAAAATTTCTCACCTATGGGTCTTTAATACTACTAACTAAGGATTTCAGTAGATTATTTAATAAAAAAACAACTTATTTTGGATTTATCATTTTGCACTTCTACGCTCTTCATAAATTAATCTCAGAGATTTTCTTATTAGATATGCAAATTAGTTAATTGTATCACAAATTTGGGGTGTTTAAATTGAATCTAAATAATTAACGCGGCAAATTATATTTACTTGTGTTTAGTAATTTATTTACTGATGTATAACATTTTGAACAGAAGTCATATTTTTGGCAGGTCATGGATTTCAACAACAGATTAGTGGGACATTTTTTCTTCACTCAATAGAAAAAAAATAAATAAATAGAGGTATTGAAAAAAAACGTTGTGAGAACTGCCTTCACTTACCATGTATTCTGTAATGCTTATACCGCATGGAGTTCTTGTAGGATCTTGTCTCCAATCAATAGTTTTACACAGTACCTGGTGTTGTTCAGCTCTCACAGGATTTACTGTTGTGTGGTTCCATTGTTTGCCTTGTAAACTGTTCCGTTTAACATCTAGTCTGCATGTATCAATGAAATTTTGATGAAGCGTTAAATTGGTTACAAAGGCAATAGATCGACGTAGGTGTAGATTTTCAGCTAAATTTTGATATGGTGGTTGACTGATCGGCGAGAGGCATATTTCTAATAAATGTCGTTGACAGAATACATTCACTAAAAAAAATTTGAAGAAAACAAAATGAAGGCATAGTATGTGATAATGCAAAAATTGTTAATTTCAAGCTTTACGTGAGCAGTGGGCAAATGATATCAACAGCGTATATTTTAGTGTATAGAATAAATTATTTTTAAAAATCACTCCTTATTGATTACATTCATGCATATACACTTAGGTACTTTTAATATTTTTCTTGTGTGTGGAGGTTTCTGTGGAAGTCGCCAGCCACACGCCCAAACGTCCCTCTTTTCCTGAACGTGGAAAACTAGCGAGATAGTAAACTGGGCTAGGTGGTAGATATGCTAACTCCATTGTTGCAGAAGGTTTGGAAGGAAGGAAAGGTGTCTACTGATTGAAAGAAATTCTACCTTGTCAAGCTGCAGAACAAGGCCTCTGCAAGTACTGGCGTGGATTAGTTCTCTTGTCCACGCCAAGAAATATACCAAGTCACATCATCCTTGAGAGAATAATAGATGCACTGGATGCAGAACTCGACCCCCCCCCCCCCGAAACAGGATTCAGAAAAAGCAAGTCATGTGCTGATCAAATTGTAACTCAACGCATCATCATCACAAAAGGTTTACTCTCCACCTCAACTTCCTTCGTCGACTTAGAATACGCCTTCGACAGCCAGCCTTGACCGAGAAGTGATTTGGAAACTACTTCAACATTGTGGCTTGCAGCGCCCCGAATATTTATCAGGCTCTTTCAACAGCTACCTATATGACAATGCTGGTCACCTTTTGGGTGATCTAAAAAGGAAAGTTGAACAAAGCCTGGCTTTGAAGTAAATACATGATATTCATCACTGTGGTGGACTGGATCATGCGTCATACTTTGCTTTGGGAGTGAGCAGACAGGAAGACGTTGGATAGATAAGGGGACTAAAAGATCTGGATTTGGCATGGAGGTGTTATATGTTTATTGTCACGCACGCAAACTCGAAGACTTGCAGGCAGGCGAAGACCAGAAAACTGGATGAAGAGGCTGGCAGCGAAGAAAGGAATCCAGGTAAACGTAGAGAAGACGGAGTTGATGAAGATGAGCAACTAAAAGTGAATACAAACATCACCAATCACTATCAACGGCAGAAATTTGAAAGGGGTTACGTCTTTCAGTTATCTGTCTCGGAAGCATTGTTTTAACCACAGGCAGTCGGACAGCATGGATGAAGACGTCAAAGCGAGTCAGTCAGAATTGGCGGGGGGCAAGACACACCTTAATCAACCTGGAATCAGTTAGGAAATCTTTTAATTCACTCAGCCAATATTAAGAAGAAGCTTCGTATTTTCAATACAAATGTGAAATCAGTCAGTTCTCCTATATGAGTCAGAAACTTGCACTGTAAGTGAGTCACGAAAAGCATTTCCAGCAGGCCACTCTTCAGAATTTTATCAACAGCTGCCTTCAACGGCTGGCGGGCCAGAAAAAACCAGCAACAAGAAACTATGAGATCAATTAAGCCGAGAACCTACGCTTCAACAAATATGTAGCTGCGAATGGAGATGGATTGGGCACACGTCACTGAGGAAACCATCGAATGATATCGCATCCAATGCAGGCCATCACTCCAGTGGAATCCCACTGGGAAGCGATGAGTGGGTCATCAGTGCCAGGGTGACACACAGAAGATCGCGTGTCGTGGAGGAAGAAATGACAGATTGTGGTTAATCTTGGGCTCAGGCGACTGAAGATGACAGGAGAAACCCTCTGTTTCACTCGGAACTCAAGGGAACAATAATTTGTATGTATATATATATACAATGAATTAACTAGATTTCGTTACTTTTGTAAGGCACTACTGACAGTGATGCCTGTGAAAATATCAAATGATTTGTCCCAGGAGATTCATTCTCGAAAAGTAACAAATCAACCAGAAATAAGCAAGTCAGCAGTGTGGGTGTTTAACAGAATTTCAAGTCGGAGAAAAAATACGTCAATTTTCACCTCCAAAACAAGTGATCTACCCATTTAATCTGGATGTGAAGTGTGCACTCTCAATAGTGGTCAAGAATAAGCTGAAGATATTTGCACTACTCAGGATCATCATGGTAATATATATCAGCTAACCGGAATTAGCTAATTATCCACCGACAGATTACAACTGGGCATGTGAATAGTGACTTTCCCACCATGTACACTTGAAGTAGCAATCAAGAACTCAGCCACCCTAATAGCATCCAAAACGAGAATCAAAAGTTATTTTAGCGCCCACCTATTTTCAAAGCTTCCTAAAACTAGTGTTTAATTCTGTTGATGAAATCTCTGTAATTAGCAGCATTATGAATGCTTTCTGAATAAAAATACTTAAGACATTTATTCCCCTTAATGAATTTGAATAAAGCAGGAACCGTAACAGTGGTTTGTGCAGAATATAATGGTACCACCAATGTTTATTTCGTCGATTTCTCATCACCTGCTTACAGCCCTTAAATATTATTGAGTTTGTGTACAAAAACTGTTCTCATATATTTACCCTTAAAGATCTCATTTTTAAAACAAAATGTCACTGTATGCATACAATGGTTATAATACTAATAAGAATCACTTTATCCCAAACAACAGTAACAATCATACACAATCGAATTTCTGGCGTTACATGATCAAATGAAAGAGAGAATGAAAACATCCAGTTACCATTTGGTGGGTAAAGAAAGACTGATAACTACTAGTCTTTGAACACATAAATCCTGTTTGAGACTCTTGGTGGAGATCGAACACTTCTGCATATCGATAATTTTGAAAATCATGCTTTATACCTACTCCGACTACTCGACGACGCGCATACAAATACTGAATTTACAATGGCACATGAAAGCGATAGAAAGTTTCATTTCCTTGACATTGTCATGCAGCGTTAGGAAAATGATGGTCTTCGGAGATCAATTTATAGAAAGCTGGCATGAGATGAATAATTCTTGCATTTTAATAGTTATTTTACAAATAGCTATGAACGAGCGCTATTGAAAACTCTGTTTTGTGTAGTCAGAGAAATTTGGTCTGTAGAGAAATTAGGAGAAGAATTTGTGATTCTCGAAAAGATGTTGAAAAACAGCGGTTACCCTCAGAGACTGATTAACAGGTTCTCGAAATACAAAGGCCCTGATGCCAAACAAATCACAGTAGGAAATAAGTCTATCTTCATTGAACTCGATTTTAAAGGTGATACTATAGAAGGAACATTCGACAGATCAATCAATGAATATTTCAGTTGCCAGAGCCTATCGAACAGCTAAATTGTTTCCCGTCTGTCGGAAAACATAATCATCTTTGGTGCAATCAAACGTCGATAGATACAATTCTCATGTTAACTCCAACGGTGTATACAAATTTACATGTATCTGCGTGAGAATATACGCTGGCAGAACAGAAAGAGGCGCACATCTCCGATTTTTCGAACATACACCAAAACGCCTGCGTCTCTAGGGAACAAATGCTTTTAACACTGCCATTGCCGGGGATCTCCTTGATACAAGTCATAAGGTGGACGTCGCAATACCATTCAGAATTACCGAAAGACAATAGACTTCGATTCTCCACGGGTTTTGCTGAAGCAATCTCCATTAAGTGCCTGGAACACGATTTATGTGTTCAAAAAGAAGTATTTATCAGTCTTTTTTACCCACCTGGTAACTGGATATTTTCATTCCCTCTTGCATTTGATCATGTAACACCAAAAATTCCATTCTGTGTGATTATTATTGCTGTTTGGAATAAACTGTGTATTATTAGTATTATAACCATTGAATGCATACAGTGACATTTTGTCCTAAAAATGAACCCTTTTGGGTAAATATATGAGAACTATTTCTGTATATAAACCCAATAATATTTTTTGGGCTGTGAGCAGGTGATGAGAACTCGACGAAATAAACAATGATGGTGTCATTTTATTCTGCACAAACCACTGTCAGAATCAGGTAATGTGAAATAAAATCATTAGAAGAGAGCTTATTTGAAATTTAGATTTGTGTGCATACTGATTACAACTGTAGACAAACAAGACTAAAAGTCAGAACAAGTTAGGCGTATTCTTACGCTGGACGCTCACTTTTTTCATTATTTCAGCTTGACCTATGTAACAGTCATAAGTGTATTTGTCCTTGAAATTGGCCAATAGTGGATCAGTTCGCTGATTAGCATTCTTAAAGTTGATAGAGATAGTAACATTACCTGAAAGTATTATGATACATCAGGATTTCTCCATCAGCTGACATCGGTTAGAGAACCATTTCAAAACCACTCACTACTGGAATACTGGACAGCCAGCTATTTCGTCAGCCCACCTTGGAACTCTTCATCAGTACTCACCCACCCCAACGACAAGCTCTTAGAAGACTGAGCCCCTGGGATCCTCCAATCCAATGAATAGTTCATGAATTCCAACTTTTGCCAATTGACACAGGCTATAGCGTGGCTGGCACTAACCAATATCATCGCTGGGGAGTATTTGTCTTCACATTTGACCTGCTGTACCCCACCGTTTATGAATTCTCACTAGAACACAGGTAAATAACTACCTAGATTTGGAATTCATGGAATGACCATTGGATTGGCAGGTCCCAGTGGCCGCTTTGTATCTGGAAGATGCCGGGTTTGAACCCTGTCAGTGGGTACTATTGAAGGATCCCAACGTACACTGACAAAACAGCTCTCTGGCAGTTCTCCGTTGGTGGCTTTCCCAGTAGTTCACTAAGCAGTGTCAGCTCATGATGAAATCCTGAGCCAAATCAAATCAAACCCCTGGAAAGCAATACTTGAATAACAAAACTGCTTATACACTAAGACTAATTAATATTCTATATAACTAGAAACTCTTGAAGCTATTAGTAAAAATTCTAGGGCACTTTATTAAATGATAGTAAACTTTTAAGTGCTTTAATATTTCTAAAAATATCTTTCAGCTATACCATATTGTTATGAACTCAAAATTTATAATCAAAAGAACAAAACTAAAAGCATAAATTAATTGTGATTAATTTTATCCACTCTCTGT